ACACACACACACACACAGACACACACACAAACATATGCATGGTCATACAAACACACTTTACACCTGCCAGCATATGACCACATATTCTTTGTAAACTGATTTGTATACGCATACTGTCTAACACTGTGCACATGCATGCACAATATTCTGTTTTAATTTATTATAGTCACCTCTTTGCTTTTTTGCTTTCGTAAGCCTGATAAATTTATGTTATGAATTTTGCCAGCATTTTCATAAAGAATGCATAATGCATGTATGCTTAAACAGCTGTGGATAAAATATGTTTGCAGTACCTTTTAAGTTCAGAAATATCTTAATTTTTTGTACGCATACTTTTCACTTTATGTTAATTTTCGTTCCAGTGTTACTTATTATAATAATCAATGTACGTTGGATTCAAAATTTTAAAGAAAATATTCTTCTCTTTACAACTCTTAAACTTCTTTTTGTCTATGGTTGCAGTAAAGTTGGAGAAAATAAGCAGATGTGAGAACCTCCGATGGCTGATTGCTCGTGACAATAAACTGGAAGATGATGAGGGACTAGAGAATTTGAAGCAGCTGTGGTATCTGGACTTAAGTAATAACAGTGTAAGTAGTCTATCAATCTTTTTGTTTTTTGGTGTGCATAAAGAAATTTAAGAGTTAATGTTAATGAAATTACTGAGTACAAAGAAAAGTAATTTAGTTATTTTTTCCTTTTGCTTTATTGGGGACACCTATATTGCTGTTGGCAAGGTTTCATCAATGTTGCTAGACTGATGTATCTGCTGATATCTTGGATTACTTGGATTATTTCTTCTCACCTTGATTTTTATACGTATAATGCTTTTTTGGTTTGGCGGAGGGGAAGGGGATAATGTCTTGATACATTCCTGAACTATCAGCAATCACTTTAAAAAGGGTTGAATGTAGTAATTAATAGCTGATCATTTTGAAGGCAGGGACATGCTTTGTTCTTTAACACGTTCCACCCACGCAGCGCCAGAGTGCACAACACTTATCCCCACGGACCAGGATACAGGTGCAGTACACGCTATATCACACCGGTGCTAATCGGCGTCCCATGGGGTAATGGGACGGTTTCTTACCATTGCCGATCAGCGCCCCGTGGGGGCAAAGTGTTAACGCACTTGCTATGACTGAAATTGTTTTACTAATATCACCAGAGTGTAAATTTGATCTACACGATATATGCAGATGTGGGCAGGTAGCTCATGTTTAATTAAAATTGTTCACTGCTGTGATTATTTTTTATGCAACGACTTGGAAAGGTCACAATTTGGTCATCTTTGTTATTGTTTGTTTATTTTGCTTTTCATTTCCAGCTGCGCTACATTGACACCTTGAGCAAATTCCTGGCTTTAGGCAGCTTGGTCTTATCCAACAACGACTTGAAATGGATGGACTTGAGAAAACTTCAATATGGCCACTTTTTAAGCATCAGTCTCCATGGCAACAAAAACCTAGACTCAGATCCTTACTGTACGTCTTGGTGTGATTTTGGAAATGTTTTGATTTTCAACTGAACTTTTTTTTGGTCTTAAGTCAACTATAGTTACATTGATTTTTATCTCAATGAAACTTCTATATGCCTGCCTTTATGATCCATTGATATAAGATTTAAAAAATGCAGCCCCTTTTAAGTTTTTCTTTTGACAAAGTTTCAATGATACTGTGTATTTTTAAAATCCATTTTCAAATATTTCCCTTGCCACCTCATTCATTAAAAATTTTATTGTGATAATATTTTGCCTACGTTTTGAATTCATTATTTCTTTTAGCTAAACAGTTGTAGTGAGAATACATATAATTGTAATTTTAAAGTTAATTGCCCTGTCTTTTCATCTTTATTTTTGTGATTTTTGTTTCATTGCTCCTTTTTATTATGAACAAAAATTCTTTGAAACTTTCATATTTTAGGAAAAAAAAATTGTATACTAAAATCTCTTTCAAATAAAATGCATATTTGTGATTCATGTGGGTTCTTTTTCTTCATAGCTCAAAACTTTTTAAAGACTCCATGTCTGCTTTGAACTCATTATTCGGTTCAGTATGGTTACTTCTATCATAAATGGACACTATTTTCTATTGGCTTGAAAGTCACATAAGGGCAGTTTTTATGTAATCAACATATTTTTATTGATCAATAAACGGGAGTCAGGTTTGACTAAATATCTGATAAGTTTAGCAATATATCATCCTTTTTCTATTTGCAGATCGAATCCATGTGATAGATAGTTTGCCTTTGATCTGGGAGTTAGATGGACGACTTGTCACAGGTGAGTACTCAATTCATAGTTAGATACTATGGACAGTGCAGAAAATGAAGGCAACTGTTCAATTAAAAAGGACAGTATAGCCAAAGAAAGCTCTATTTAGAGAAAATTTATAGTTTTATTACTTACTGTGATTTAGAAGTTTTCCTTTTTTGAACATACTTACATTTGAATAGAATGCTTTCCTAAGTACATTGGTATCCGCTAAACTGCAACCCAGTGAAGAACAACCTTCACCGAACAGCAACCTAATCTATGTAACGGAATTTTCCTACATGATACAATCCCCCTTAAACAGCAACTTTTTCTTCTAACAGCAACTTATGTTGCTTTAAATTGTCAAATGAAATTTCTTTTTGAAGATCCTAAAACATTGACACTGGTCTTTAATCACAGTAGTGTACGCTTCCTTCCTCTATTGTGTATCTCCTGAAAATATCAAAATAACTGCTCCTGTCAAAAATGCGCTACACTGAGAATGGAACATAGTACACACCTTCTTCACAAAAGCCACCCTCCTTCAAGATTCTGAAGGGAGGAATCTCAGTCAGTGTGCATACCATTACTGCCAATGCTTGAATTTGGCCTATGTTGTCCTTTTCTAACATAAGAACATCATCACATCATGCAGTTATGACTATGCGTGTGCTTTTGTGTGTGTGTGTGTGTGTTTGTGTGTGTGTGTGTTTGTGTGTGTGTGTGTGTGTGTGTTTGTGTGTGTGTGTGCACGCACATATGTGTGTGTGTGAGTGTTTTATGGGTTGTTTTTTTTTGGGGGGGGGATAGAGTTATCATTATCTTTTGAGTCTACAGCTTTGAAGTTTCGTTCTATAGAAAATTGATGTTAAATTTGAAAGTTCTGCCTATTTTATATAACCTCACAGTGTTGAAAGGAGCAGTAAACAATGCAGTTACCAATTTTCTGTTGTTCTTTGTATACATCTTAGTCTTATTTTGAAGATCAACATCAGTTTACAGTAAAATTCTGACTGAAATATCTTTAGGCCATTCCCAAAGGGCGGACATTAACATGTTCTTGGGGGCTCTCGTGGCCTAGAGGTTAAAGTGTACGCCTCTCATTCAAAGGTCCCGGTTTCGAATCCGGGAAGCAACCGGAAAATTTTCTTCTCTAAAATTGTCTCCTTTCACCTCCTTTCCTGCTCTCTAGCAATGTTCTGTCGTCTGCTTTCTTCTCCACTTTTTGGCCCCACCCCCTCACCTCCTTTGCCCCCTTCTCTGGGCTCCTGACTCTTTCTGCAGCCTTTCTACTGTTACTCCTTGGCTCCTTCTTACCTTAAGTCTTTCAGCCACACCTCTGTTCTTATGGTAGGTAAGATCTACACCTAGCCTTCTCGGACAAGGGTTAAAAATCTCGGAGGTCCCGTGTGCAAGTTGCGCACGTTAAAGATCCCTTGGTGGTCTAAAATCGAAAAGAGTAGGCTTCGGCCGCCATCCGGGCAAAATTTAAAATTTCCTACCAACTGAAAAATGGTTAATGTGTCCCGCACTCTCATATATGACGTAATGCAGTTGCGAACGCCGTAAAACACTTGCCAATCAAAACCCCCCAAAACTCCATGTTCCTATGCACAGTAAAATTGTAAATGGGCTAATTCATTGATGTCATGTTCATAACTGTGCCTTAACTGCATACAGGGAACTGCTGCTTTTTCTTACCTAATCCTTACTATCGTAATTTTTCTCTACTTCTTTTGTATGTTTGTCACTCTCTTGTGACCCCCTATTTCTGGGGTGCCTTGATAGTCGAAGCAGATTTTGTGCTGTTAAAGCTGGAGAGGTGAGCAGAGTAAGCCTGATTCCCTGTATGGACTTCTCTGTTGACATCCACCCCTTAGAGCTCCTATGACCTTATGCAGTTGCGAGTGCAGAGTAAAATTCTAAATAACTGGACAACTTGATAATGGTTTGATAACGTTTCTCAGATTTAGCAGGACATGGAAGTGATTAAAAAGTCTTGATCTTAGTTTTCTATCAAATCAGACACATTTAAACGCAGAAAAAAAACTGGTACTGTCATTTCATACTGTCACTTCATGCAAATTTCGTATGTATTTTTATTTTATCACAACAGTGACAGAACGGTTGCATGTCAAACAGTTCTTCATTGATACAGAATACACACAGCATCCAGTGGTGAGAGTTTGACTTATCTGTTGTCCTCGCTGTGTTTATCGTGTTGCATGGTTATGTTCATTTCAAGAAATATTATAAGAATAGTGAATGAAAATCATAATTACTTCATAGAATTTTATTTTACTCTTTACAAGGCCATACTTTTTATTTTAAAAAATTATGTACCAGGTGTTTTAAAAAAACTTGTCTATCAAAGAATCAACAATAAAACCGAAACCTCTGAAAATCCATTTCCAAAAAAATGGTTCACTTATAGCAAATTTATGCGCCTTGAATAAAATCAGCATTTGAAGCATGAAACACCTTGCATTTTTTTGCAGTTACCTCTTAAATCATGTCTGGAATGTGATGTCTGTCACAGGATAAGCATTTTTTTGTTTTTGTGTGAAAGACAAAGTTTCAATCATTCCATTGTGGAGTGTGGACTTTTTAATTGCTGCTCTCAAATGAACTACAGCAATAAAATGTCTGCTCAGTGGGCTATTAACCTCTCAGATGGAATTTTATTGTTTCCTCACTGTCAAACACAGACTGAGGCTCTCTCAGGGATCTTGTTTTATGAAAGGATTTTACAGCAAAAGCTTTTTCCATTTTGCCCTACTACATAGTGATCATTGAATGCTGGATCAAAATAATGGCATATTACGTAATGCCCATAGTTTCGTTGAACTTCTGTCCATATATGATGTAGATTTTCGGACAACCATTTGACTCATGGAGTTGTTTATTTTGCTGTAAACAGGTTTCTTTGAACAGCTAGTACTATTATTGGGTAAGAGTAAATTTGGCTTCTAGATTTTGTTACATGTTTTGTGTAGTATTGTCTTTTATGAGAAATTTGTGCAAATTCTGTTTCCCTGTATCTTAAAACTATATTTTGTTTCTTATTTTAGAGACACAAACTACCTCGTCAGTTTCAAACGTCAACAATGAAAAACATCGGAACACAAGGAATTGTCAGTCAGGAGGTAATTTGTACCAGTGTCCTAGCTATCCTATCACTCCTTGTTAATGGTCAAGGGATGTCTGCAGTGGCGGGGCGTAGTGAAGGGCTAAAGGGCTTGAGCCCCACCCACTCGTACCCCCACCCCAGACTCTTTCCCTCCGTAAATGAATGTTTCTTCTATTAAACATGGGTCTCAATATTCCGCTATTTAGCGAATTTCCGCTACTGCCATTTCCTCCGCTAAACTCTGCTACCGCGACAGCGGGCCAATCAGAAAAAGAGTTGCTTCGAGCAGGGTGACTGCCAGACCCTGGGAATTACCCGGGAATATGAAAAAAAAATTTCAGAGACCCGGGAAAATTCATAAAAGATCTCGAATATTTGAAAACCAAATCCAATAACGTCTTTAAGTTCATTTTTGCCAGTCGCGATTGTGATATTGATTCGGCTTTTCCCGGTCTGGGAGTACGTTTCTCGTGAACAGGTGGCTGTGGCGGCAAGTGGAATTGTATGTGACACCGAGGCTCGACTGGAAAATTAAGGTCTACTTTCTCTTTCGTTACCACTCAGAAATTTGTCAGTAGTAGTCTGATAACGCAACATTTGTAACATGCAAGTTCGGCATTACGTACGTGGTGTCTCTATGAAAATAGATCAATATTCTTCGCTGTCCTGCCACTAAAAAAAGAGAAAAGAAAGTTATACAAGCGTCCTGTCGGGCTCTCCATTGTGACCGGTCAGTGAACCTGCAAGCGTTCTGAGCGCTGCGAAGTACAGGACTCCAGAATGGGGGGGGGGGGGGGGGTGAGATTATTGATTTTTTAAAAAGATACACCCGGGGATGGGGGGAGGGCTGGACGCAACACCGGAGGAAACTGGAAGCAAATTTTTAATATTTAGAATTTTGATTACTACTGCAGCTCTCTCGAAAATAAGGTGCGCGTTGGTGCAGGCCTTGTGTGAAATCAGGAACCATCATAAATTGTAAGCGTGTTATTAATCTTAGGGGCCTAGGTGTTCACGTTTCATTGGATGGGTGACAGTAAATTATCTCAATATTTTAGCTTTCTGTTCAAAATTCGCAGATTTTCAGTGTCACTACATCCTGCCCTCCCTAAGTTCTTACACCTCTCACACTGAATAGGTCTACTTGGGCTGTTCAAGTTATTACTCTACTTTGAGTTTGAGCGTTTATTTTTGTTTTTCACGTTTTTATATAAATATATATACTAGCTGGGCCCCCTTTCGGTACTTTAATATCAACTAAAAGTCATTGGCCTACTATATTTACACTCAAATGGAATGGGGGCAATAAATCTTGAGAGATGCAAAAATATATAAGGTATAGATCTATACTCTCAAAACAAAATGTGCCTCGCGAAATATCACTTCTGGATTTTCTAAAATTACAGAGACAGAAGCGTCGGCCTACAAAAGCGATCTGCGAAATAAAGAAATTTAGCTTTTTGCAGCAAAACTGTCTCCATACTGAAAAAGCGAAGGGCGTCATGATCTGGAGACTATTTTAAAGAATCTTTTGGCGAAAACCGCATGTCGATCGATGCAGCCATTAAAAAGCCTTTTGAATAGCAAAATACAGCCACAACAAATAGATAATAGATATATATATATATATATATATATATATATATATATATATATATATATATATATATATATAGGGAAAATATAAATAAGTTGGACGGAACCCCAGTGCGCCACCACTTTCTGTACATAATCAAGATTACAAATATTTGGTAAGTGACTCTTACTTGAAATTATCCTCCGAACCCTGAAATTGATGTGAAATAACCTTGCTTTGATAAATTGATGGTTTTTGTTTCAGCATTCTGGGGTTCAACAGTATAATAATAATGGGTGTTGCACGAAAATGGGCTTTTGTCGCGATCACCTGGAAAGTTCCTACTTTTAAAAAATTCTGAGTTGGGACCCATGAATAAATAAGATAATCAGTTGAAACCATTAGAACTGTTTCAGAATCTTCCGCCTCCACCTTTAGTTGCATGCGGTGAACACACATGCTTGCTCATTTATCAAATCGCTGTAGACACCGCTTACAATGATAGTAACCAAACAGTCAATCAAATGTGTTTAGGGCTCAGCAAAGGATGAGCCCATTCCCACGGTCCTTATTTAATGAAACTCTTCTTGAAAAAAGGTAAAAGAAACAAACGAGAGCCCGTGGTAACTGTTGTTAGAGAGGGCTCGTTCTCTGCCAATCCAGACAACGCGGGGAAAGTTCATGACACTCTTTCCCCAGAGACCCAGTAACCAAAATACGCTCATGGGCCCTCGTTTTAGGAATATCAGAGAGGGTTTACAGTATTACTGTAAAACTCTCTGGGAATACCTTGCTTTCTGAGACCCCGCGGCCTAATCCAGTTACTGTTGTATGTGTGGGCTTGTGTGTTTAATTAATTAATTAAATAATTAATTTTTTTGGTAAGTGTTTTACGGCGCTCGCATCAGCATAAGGTCATATGAGTGCGTTTGCGTGTGAGTGTGTGAATGAAACATACTCACACATATCTGGAATGTCCTCAGAACCAAGGAATTCTTACCTTTAACTTTACCTACCCTGATTTCTCAGCCCCACCCACATTTAGAACCACCCACCACCACTGGATGTCTGTAAACATGCAAGTCAATTCATTGTACAAACTATATTTTGCCTTTTGAAGGATTTTTTATTGTTCAAACAGTTCTTGCAAATGCTCATCTCTTTACTCAAACAAGCAAATAAACAAATTTTGCTTCTTTGACTGCCCATCTGGTGTATTATGGACATCCTTATCTGACTTGCACTCCTCTCATGCTGAAGGCCAACATTTTTGCATCTTTTATGATACAAGTGGTGTTTTTTTCACAGTGCAAGTACATCTATTCCAAGTTTCCAATGTCAGAGACTCACACCAAACGTAAGTCTGCTCACTCAAGCTCGCATCAACTGAGATTCATGTTTAGTAATAGTTACAAGCGTCATGCTTTGTTTGGATAATTTTTTAAACAGTAAAAAAGTTCTGAACTTTGAATTGAAAGGGACAGAACTGCTGCAAGCTGACAAAAACGCCTTTTTAGAATTCTCAGCAGTTTCGAGAAAAGGAGATTTTTTTGTCAACGTAACTATTTTAAAAGGTTTTCTTCATAAATCTTAATTCTAATCTATTAAACAAAGTAGTCACAGTTGCACTTTGATTTTTTCACACAAGTAGGGCAACTGATCAGGTTTTTTATTGAGTAAATTAAAAAAAAATTGAAGCCAAAAATGAAAAAGGCGTTTTTGTCAGCTTACGGCAGCGAAATATGAAAGTCACATAGGTAATTGCACCTACAGGTATGTATCCGTATTAAAGGCTGATGTATTATATTAAACACACTTTTCATTGGTTCATGATACATTTTTAGGAGTCACACTTTTATATTATGTAACATGTATTCCTTTATATTTTTGGTTAATGAGAATGTTCCCACAACTTTGAAGGAAGATTGCACATCCCTGGGTATATGGCACATTCGCTTTTGTTCTCTTGTCCAGCTCAAATATATAATAGGCGTACTAGCTGGGCCCCCTATTGATGAAAGGAATGATCGGTGCATAACATCAACTGTATGTCATTGGCCTACTGTATTAACACTCTACTGTAATGGAGCAATAAATTTTGAGAGAAGCTAAAAATTAGAAGCTCAAGATCTATACTCTCAAAACAAAATGGGCCTCGCGAAATATCACTTCCGGCAATTCCACTGTGGAGGACAGCTATGCAGATTTGTTTAGTTTCTCAGTGGAATAATCACAAAGGCTAAAGAACGAGGGGAAGTTTTTGTCAAATATATTTTTCTAAATTCAGGAAATTAATAAATAAAAAATCGATCTCCGTCGTGGGGACCTATCTATCTTTTTGCAGGTACTTGCCAAATTTCAACTTTGTTGCTGTCGTAGTTTTATTGGAAAAGTGACACATGTATTTCCTTGTTGCCAAATATATATAATAGATATCGCTTCTTGGCCTTTTGGTTAAGATCAAAGTGTAGTATCCGTTCCCGACTTTTCCTCTGCCTTGTGCCCACTGGTAAGCGGGACGGCTACTGCAGAAGCTGATGATGGACGGAGAAGTCTGTCCCTCAATTATCTCTAGTGGATGGATTACCTTCCTCTTTTAAAAAACAAAAGAAAAGAATAATATGTGTTGACATTGATTTTTTTCTTCCCTCTGACCTCACTCACTCACTCAATTACTCGGGGAATAAAAGATGTGAGGACAACAGAAAAGGATTCTGTCTCTCATATTTGCTCTTGTCAAGTGAAATACAGTGTAAATAACATTGAAGTATTTATTGAGATACTTGCTGGGTTCAGTTTTTGATTGTGATTAAAATATACTTCTCTGCAGATACCGATGAACGTCGATTAAAGTATCTAGCTCACATGGTTCAAGAAGACATTGTCCAGTGGTCTAAGGAACTGGATAGCAAGTGAGACTTTTTATCTGTGTTCTTTTTCTTGTAACACACTTATAAAAACAATTAGAAAGAAATTAAAAGAATTAAAAAGAAACAAAAGTAGTTTCTGGGATACTTGAATGACATACAGGCCTTGAATATCTTGTTCTCAGCGGAAAAATAGAAGACAAAAGATGCAAGGGTAGACCAAAAACAACTTACTTAGAGAACTTGAACAGATGGCTGACTGGGAAAGACTTGGATAAACTAAGTTTTTTTAGAGCGTCCAGTGTCAGAAATGAATAAAAATCATAATTGCCAATATCTGCTACAGATGAGGCACTTCATTATAAATCAAGAGAGACTGCTTGCATAATATTTTTGCTGTTTCCTCTAGCCCTGAACTGAAAGATCTTTGACTTAAAGCTGTGTGAAGAAATCGGCTGTGAGCTGGTTCAGAGGCATATTTTAGTGTTCGATTTACACATCTCCTTTTTATTTTTGTAAATGGCATTAAATGAAAAATTCTCTTGCTTCTTCATTGGTTAAAGAATGGGATACTGCTTCCCTCTAACAAGTTTGCAGCATTTTTGTCTTGAATGTAACTCAGTCTGTGTTTTTGAAAATTTGAAGCTTTTTATTCTAATGGTCTATAGTCTTTCAAAGTTGTAATGTTTGTTCTAAGCATGCAAGCTGAAGAAGAACTTATGCTTTTTGCACAATGATGATACAGATGATAATAGTTTGCATTTATATAGCAAGTACCCCTTCTCAAAGTAGGCTGTATTTGCTTTACAATTAATCATTTCTCTGAGAGGCTCTATGTCTGTCTGAAACATTTTCAGCTTCATTTGACATTCCTAGACCATACTTTAGTTAACAACTGAATACTTTTACTTACTTTATTTTTCTGATCTAGTAGCCATCTGAGCGCTTAAGGCAGATGTGGCCTGATAACAAGTATATAAAGAAGAAGCTTTGATGCCTGTATTTCTGTAAACTATGGGACTCTAAACTTCTCTTTTCTCTCGTTCAGTGATCCTGGAAGGCCAAACATCAAGGAGAAATTCCTGGATGACCTGTTAGAGAACCGTAAAGAGGATGTGGAAAGATGTAACATGGTGCTGCTTCTGCTGGTGGTGAGTATCTTAGTTTCCTTTTCCCTTCTATTTTTATGATAAGAATCAAAACTGGTTTTTTAAAATAATGCGGTCCTGAATGTTAAAGTCTGGCTTTAAGTGAAAATGGGAAGACCAGTGTCATTGTTCATTTATTATCTCTAAATTTATAAGTTCATTTTCTTTCTTTCTTTGTTAAGAAACAGCGCAAAAATTGCAGAGATTTTGTAAAATTTGAAACCTCACTCCTAAAATATAAGAGGAAAAAGGTTGCTTTTTCAAACTCCTGTGTTATGGAAAAATGCTAAGACTTAACCACATTCTTTAATTGATTGAATTCTATTTTTGTTAAGAACAGAAGAATACAGATTTGAACTTGACTGCATGTTAAAACAGTTTTATTTGAAATGAATGAAAGACCTGAAAAGGTTCCGAATGTTTATTTTTTAAAAATTTGTCTTCAACTTCAGATTTCTCTGGAGTTCCAGCTGCCAACTGCCCTGGTGGTGACTGTTTTGTCTGCTACTCAGCTGAATACCATAGGGTAAAATCTTCTTTGACTTCAGTGATTTTAAAAATTATTTTTACTAAATGTTTGTAGTTAGATGTCTCATGAAATTTATTGGATGAATAATTAATTTTTATACACTCTCTCAATTTGTGAAATAGATTTGCATTACTTGTTTTCACTGCAAATAAAGTAAACGAATATGTTTGTTGAAGGTTCAATATGGTGATGGCGACTTCTCTCCAACATATAACATGACCAAACCAAATTATCAAGAGAAATGTAGGGTTTAAAAAGAATTCATCCCTGTTTTCAGATCTGCACAAACCATGCCCCTCTTTCTGCTTCCTCGTGCATACCGCACAAAAGTCATCGGGGTTTTGATCAACGCTGCCAAAGTGGACAGGGACAATCATGTGGTGAGAGCAGCTGCTGGTTTATAAGTTGGTGTTCACTGCTTAGTAGTTGTTACAGGTGTCTTTTCATTTGATTTTACTTCATATTTTTTTCAAAATCATACATTTGCTTAAAAAAAGCTCTGTATCAGTTCTTAAAATGTGCAATGTTTTATGAAATGTCTTTTACTAATCTTGTGATTTATGATTGTGGAGTTGTATTGTTATTTTACATTGTACTTGAAATTTTTTGGCAAAGGTAATTAAAAAGGGTGCAGTAGGTGGAAGGAAAACTGACGAAATCTGAGTAGCAAACCAAACTCGTTTATTAGGCAGAGGCTATATTATATTAGAAATGATAGGAGCAGCGATTTTTTTAGAAAGTCAATTCCTGAAACTGCAGAACTGACACAGAACTTATAAAAAGTAGTAGTCTTGAAGTTTACAGTATGTGTTTGTGGTCTGTCATTTTTATCCCTGGAAGACACTCTTTGCTTCAGGTGATAAAATTACTGAGATCAAGTTATTATGTCTTGATTTGTACTTTTTAAATGGACTGTCATATTATTTGATTTACTGGGGAAACTAGTATAGCTACTTCTCATTTTGTGCAAGTCTGAATTCAATTATATATTTGGCAACTTTTTTAAAACACATGTGTCACTTTTCCCCTAAAACTAGCACAGCTACAGAGTTGAAAGTGGGCCAGATTTTTTATTTATTCATTTCCTGAATTTAGAAAAATATATTTGACAAAAAGTTGCCGTCCTTCTTTGGCCTTTGTGATTATTCCTCTGAGAAACGAAACAAATCTGCGAAGCTGTCCTCCCCAACGGAAGTATCAGAAGTGATATTTTGCGAGACGCATTTTGTTTTGAGAGTATAGGTCTAGACCTTCTAATTTTTTTCATCTCTCAAGATTTATTGCTCCATTCCAGTAGAGTGTAAATATAGTAGGCCAATGACTTTCAGTTGATGTTAATGCACCGATCATTCCTTTCATCGAAAGGGGGCCCAGCTAGTGTTTTAATATTGTTGTGTTTTGATCAGATAAAATTTTGACTCAACTGAAAATTCTCTGTTAGCTGTTCGACTTTATTATTACTGTCAGGCATGGATAACTGAAACATATTGGGGATTAACAAATGTGTTTGACACATCCATAATTCAGGTGAACTTATAAGGCAAAAAATTCAGAGAGATACCTGTCGGGGAATGGCAAATTGTATGAGCTATCGGAGATTTTGAGTGGGTGGTTGGCGGGTGCTCTGGTGTGGTTTGCTCCTTCTTTCCTACCAAACATCTGTCGTCCTTATCTCCCCTCCTTCTTTTTGTGTTTGTTACTCTCTTGTAACACCTCAAATCTTCTGGGGCTCATATGACCTTATGCAGTTGCGAGCGCCGTAAAACCTCTACTAAAACTAAAAACTAAAAGAGATTTTGAGTTGTCCGTGTTTGAGTTATCTGTGCCCGACTGTACAAGCTGATGTATGTATGTATTCATATCTCCCTCCTTTCCCCCATCCTTTTTTTTCATCCAGCAACATGAAGGAGGACTATACCCTCAACTGTTCATGTGCCTGTACTACATAGTAGCTCAGTTGACTCGCATCAGCCAGACCAGCTACGCTAACATGAAGAACATCAAACCCCTCTCACAGTGCGTGTTGTCTGCTCTCTTGTTACAACTGAGATCAACATCATCTTAATTTTGATACAATTTCCAAGGGGAGGGGGGAGGGGTATTAAAGTTTATTTTTTATCAAATATTGTACAGAGACATTTGTGCCCTTAAGGTTATATTGCTTTATGAGAATTGTTTTCATACTTGGCTTCATTTATAAATGTGTGTAGATAGATTTGTGTGGGTGCATGTTTTTGTTTTGTTTAAAGTATGCATGTGTGTATGAGTGTGTATTTTTGTTTCTGTGTTGGAAAAAAATGATAAAAGAGAGCAAGGTGGAATTAGAGAGAGAGAGGAAAGAGAGAAAAAGGAAAGAAAAAGAGGGAAAAAAATAGACAGAGAGAGAGAGAGAGAGAGAGAGAGAGAGAGAGAGAGAGAGAGAGAGAGAAACAAAGTGACTCATTATATTTGCAGATAGTAATAATAATATGATTATATTACATCTGCAACTTCATACAACCGTGCCTTGTACATATATGACCATTAACTTTTGAACTTCAACTATTTGTACCTTGTCATGACAACTGCCCTCTATTGTTTCCTCCTGACAGTAACTCTGACTATATGGCCTTGATGGCCAGTGAGGTGGTGTCCTTGATGATGCAGGTGCCAAAGTTCTTTGACTACCTGGGCACAGACACAGGTGAGAAATACAAACGTGCCTATGAGTAATTCAAGGATTTAATGAAAATATTTTTACGCCCCTGTCAATACAATTTAGATCGTTTTGAAGATCGCTTAGACCCTGCATTTCAGAGGCAACCTGACCAGCCCAGCAGACCTAATGAAATGCTTGATAAAAATTCTTTCTGCTGGTGAATCAAACTTGAGTCTTTTGAGTGTGATGGTAAAACGCATTACTGCTACAACACAGATGCAGGTGCCGATGAGGAAGAGGTCAAAGGTATAACAAAAGCCTTAGAAGCATATGCTGTGGCTTGTAATAGTAAAAAATGATTATTATTACCCAGGTGAAAGAAAATGATTACATAACATAGGGAGGGAGGGGAGAGAGAGAGAGAGAGAGAGAGAGAGAGAGAGAGAGAGAGAGAGAGAGAGATGGGTTTATCCATAATCTATACTATTACCCCAGCAGCACACCTGAGAGCATTCTGAAACAACCTCAACTTCCTGGGCAGTATACAGTGCAAGCTGCCATTTATAGGCTCTAAAACACTAGCATACTGACAAGATTTTTCGCTGTCTATGGTGGGTACCCATTCCCACCTGGGTGAAGTGAGGAAAATTCGTGTAAAGTACCTTTCCCAAATACACAAAGTCGGGTCCGCGGCTCAAACCCCTGAACCCACAACCTCACAATTACGAGTCCGGTAGCCTAACCACTAGGTCATCGAAGCCACTTCCAATACGTTCTTTCCCCTTTTAATCAACGCAAGCTTCCCTTTGTTTGTGTCCCTCCCAGGTGTGATCAACCTGACAGCTTCAGCCACCGGGAGCTTTGAGACAGTGTACGAGATGCAGGAACTACTGTTGGAATCTCACACTTTGCTGGTAAGCCCATGGGGGAAAGTGAAATTGATTTATGAATAAAAATGACTAAAAGTTGGAAGGCAGGTTTGTTGTGAATGCACGAGGCTGGAAGATGCTCTTGGTCTAAAAATACATACAGTACTGCTTTTTTTGGACCCATAGGGAGATATTTTTTGTACAGTACAGCACATACAAATTGGAATCTGCACTGTAAGATCAATGGGAAGGCACCTGGCACCTGGAGAAGAGTCACAGAGGATGATGTAGAGAAAAGTGGGAAGACATGGAATAATTTCAACAGGCTAGCCCAGGATAGGGAAAGGAAAAGTGTGTGTTCTTGGCCTATACCCTGATGCAAGATGAAAAAGGCAATGATGATGATGACGATGACGATGATATACAATTTCTATTTTGTGACCTTGCCCATTTTTGCTCGTGAACTACTCTCAATATACAATGTCAGACCAATACAAAATCTTTTAAACAATCTACTGTTGGACCGCAATGTTCAGTGCCCTGTTTTTGGCGAGGGTTATTTTATCTAAGTCATCCTCCGAGTGACCAGCTGCCTAAACGTTGTGTCACCGAGCTATTGACTGTAACATTTGCAAACCTTGCAAGCCTGAAATTATATTATATCAAGTTTTATTTTTGTTTTAGAAGATCACTTGGAAATCATCTTGCATTGTATCTCAATATAGTGCAAGTTTACAGAGCAATATGCAATGTTGGCGCAAAGTGTGGGTATGTGTGTTTTAAGGCATGTTTGACACGTACTCATTGTTTTCCTTGGAAGTAGTAATTTTGAACTTGCATAATTTGTGACTATTAGTTGTTGTTATGTTTGACATTATTGTGAGCCTGAGCAATTTAGGTCTAGTGTGGCTTCCAACTGAATTTTTCTCACTGATCTCCTTCGGGTGTTGTCATTGTGTTAATGGACTTTTTAACTCCTCACTCGGTGTTGATGTCTCATTTAAATCATGCATACTCTACTAAGGAATATAGAGGAGGAAATAAAAACTGACACAAAGGAGCCACCTTAAAGCTCAAAATGTGTCTAAATTTCCATTCTAAAATTTTTTTTTCCCCCAGAATGGTCTTACTTATATTGATGTTAATCAAGGCAAAGCTAAAAAGATAGTTTTGAAAGCCATCCAGAAGAGACTGGACAAGATCAGCATCAAGATGTCAGACATTCCAGTGGGGGATCGCTATCTTGCTGTGAGTTCATGTCTATTCATGAAGTCCAACCAAATAATTGAAACATAATTAGAAACATAATTGTCATTGATGATTAACTGGATCAAAGCATGAGGTACTCACTTTCATCTTGGGACAAAACATGTAACACAGTTTGAACGATAAAGGTCTCATTGTAAATTGAACAAGTGGGAATTACAGATCAAAACACTTTTCTTTGATCTTTGTGAAACTGATTAACATCCTGCGCTGAGCTCTTTTGTTGATCTCAAAGATTTTAAAATCTTTGCTGTAAGATTTTAAAATCTTTGCTGTGGCAAAAAAATGAGTAGGCCTAACTTCATTTTTGCCCTTCCGTAGGGGATGAATAAAAAAACAACATTTTGGGTTATTGATTTTCTTGTAACAGTATCATGGTGTATTGCAGTAACAATATAAAATTTTGAAGATGAGAGTAGTGTAGTGTGACTCCCTTTCTGAAACTGCATTGTTTTCGTTTAATTTACATGTACTTATTCCGATTGTTGACTAATAAAAGATTTTTGATTATGGTTCAATTTGTCTAATCTTTGAGTATTTCATACAATTCTGATTTCTGTTTGATGTGCTGAGCATTTTCTCTGCTTATCTTGTACAAATAATGAAATTTGGAACAGTTGAGGCAAATGCAACAATGTCATTTGAGGTATAGCGAATGCTTTTTTCAGGGAATAACACATCTGTGTTCATAGTAGGCCCAGATAATTTTTGCTGAAGATTTTTATATATGCCAACATTAACTTGAGACGTTTCGAACGTGGTTCAATTTTCGAGTAGTTAAAGAAAAATTATCATAAAAAACGTATTTCATTCACAATCTTTTCTCAGAAATTGGAGCTTCTATGGTTAGTGCATTTTTGAGAAGAATATTGGACATCTTGATTTTACAAAAGAATGGATTGATTTATCGTATTGTTCACGAGCTTTGACGGTCATGCTCGAAAGATGCTTTTAACTTATTTTAAAAGATTGATGTACAGCAAAGTGGAAAGACAAGGAATAACATCAAGAGGCCAGCCCAGGATAGGGAAAGGTGGAAAGTGTTTGTTCCTTGCCTATACCCTGATCCAGGATGAGAAAGCAGTGATGATGATGATGATGATGTTAAAAAATGGGGGTGGGGGGGGGGGAGGGTTGAAATTGACTTTTACATGACTCTCAATACTGGCCTATTGGCATCCTATCCTCAGTTGTCAGATGCTCTGCCAATCAAACCTCTGCACTCTGTGGTCTGGGCCTCCAACTTCTTGACCAACGGTCAAACAATCCCCTGTCTGGAGCCTCCAATTCTTAACCCAGCAAGGGAGGCAGCTAAACCAAAGCCAGTTCCTCCAAGTGAGTTGGGAAAGTTTCGTCTTCTTTTGCAGTTATCATTTATGTTCTGTTGCTGGCTGTGATGATGTCTGTTGTGTGATTCATTTTTCCAATAGGATATGCTATTTGGTGAAAGTTATTAAGGCATGAACATTTTTTGGATATGAACAGCTGTATATGTGAAGCGTGCTGACAAAATGAGTTACTTCTCGAATTTTTATCCTTATGGAAATAGATACATCACGCTTATAGGTGAAGTTTTGACAATTTATAAGTATGAAATTTTAGAACGCATTTTGTACTTTAAGATTGCGGCATCAATACAAAAAACTATAAATTTCACCCTAGTTTCGATTTTTGGCCAATATCTCCATTTGTGGATTGTGAGAAGTAACTCGTTTTGTCAGCTCGCCTCACATATATAAAAGGTTCCTTTTGTTCTCCAAAATTTCATGTAAAACTGACCTCTCAGCAAGATGCTCATAAATTCATATTTTTTGTGTTGTTCCTTTGGGTATTTTTGACATCCAAAAAATCTAGTTATAAAATTATCATAAAATATATTGATGTTGTGGAAGGCACATAAATTGAATTGTAAACACTTGAAGCCTGTTACGATACTTTTTTATGCTTATTTGAAGACCTTAGCTGTGCCATCAAGATTAGGTACAACAATGTGTCTACTTTTAAAAATCTTCTTTTATCTTACAGAGAGAGGCGAAAATGTCCTTCTGGGCCCACAGGTATGTAGTTAACGTGATGTGTAAACTTTCAAGGTCGTATCTCTTTGAACTTGTAGAAATGTAGCCAAGCAACGTGTTTGGTTTCTAGGTGGTATTTGGTGGTGGAAAGGGGGGGGGGGGGGAGTTTATCTCACTCTTTGTTTTTCTTTTCAAGCATTTCCTTGCACTGTGCAACAATTGTTTTTATGTTTTCTATTTGAATGAGATAAAATGTTAACATTTGCGGTTTAAAGAAAGTTATTATACTGGAGATGAATCCCTTGGATATTTTTGTCTTTTAAATATTTCTACAATAAAATGTACAATGTGTGATGTTATACTTTTATTTCTGTGTTCTGAAAAATCCAGTGGCTGGAGATGAAAGTTGAGAAAACTGTTAGACTCTGATTAACTGACTTGGGGGAGAGCATTGTAAACATTGTAGCAGTGAAGTTGGAGTAATGTTATTGCATTGGCAAACAGAATTTTGTTTGAATTTTTGCTTTAAGTATCTAAAGTAACATTTGGAATACTGTAAAAATGGAAACGTTCTATTTGTAAGGTATTTAATGCACAAATATTAATGTTCAACAGCCATTGGTTGGTTGTAGTTTTGAAACATTATGTTCACAATAATCTGTGTACATTTTGTAAAGCACACAGAGCTTGCTCAATACAAGTGCTATCTATTACTATTATTATTATTATTAATTTTATTATTATTATTATCTAAACTGCTTTGTACCCTTGACTGATGGTGACATACATTGATTTTATAGGTAGTGGGAGAAATTTCCATGCTCATGGAAGGAGACATTGGACTGGTGAAGATTGACGCTGTCCCAGGTAATCTTCAAACTGCACCTGTTGTTTAAAGCTGTATTTTATTGTGTTTAACTATAATTGGGTTTAGAAATTTTCAATATGGTCAGCTACCAATAATGAAGAGGGCACAAACAAAGCAAAACATAAATGCTGTTGCATTTGATTTTTTGGACACATTCTGCTGACAATTTTCTAATTGTTCACTCTCTTGGATCAATAACATTTCATCTGAATATTGCTACCTAAGAAACTAACAGTTGGTTTGTGGGATGTTATTACCTATTAAAAATTTTTTTAAAAATTGTAAATTGTGGCCTTGAAATGACTGAACATGTGCGAGTGAAATTGTGTGGAATGGTTGGAGGGTGTCACTGACAGGCCATACTTATTTCATTAGTATTTACTATGATTATTACTGCCATCTCACTTTCTCAAAATATTGCTGTATGTATGTTTGCCTTTTGCTCAAAGTAACACATTTTGTGTGTTTATTAGCAACGAATTGTATCTTTGACTTCTTTGCTTCTCTCAGTATCTAGCGGAGCAGTGGAGAGCAAGCTGAAATCAAGTGATGCTCATTTCACATTTGTGGATATGAAAGCTCTGTGTTATGCCAAGGATATTGGAATGTGGAGACCCACAAAAACCATTGGAGACAAGTAAGATTTTTTTTTTCTTTCTTATTTTCTCTGATTGCATTGTTCCATAAAAGGATTTTGGTTGGAAATTGAGCTTATGTTTTGGGAAACATTGAAATTCACCATGATGTGTCTTTCCGCTATGTGGCAGCATTTATGAAATGTCAGACTGTTTACTAATTCATTCTCTCTTGTAGATCACTGATAGTGAGTGTTTCTTTTTTTTTTTCCATGGATTTGATGAAAGAAAAGAATTGTGCCATAGAGTACAAATGTGAGGCATCGTGGTGAAATCAGACGCTCGTCAATATACGGAAACGGAAAAAAACTGGCATTTTTCTGCCAGTTTGAAAATTTTTCTCGAATTTTCGATTTTTGGCTCAACACCCTCTATGTCCGTTAAAACACACATTTCTATATGGATTTTACTGAAAAAGGCACAGAAATTGCAAATTTTTAGTTTCCACGGACTCTCAAGCTTTGGAAGTCACTAAACTTTGGCGGCCATTCTATGGCTAATTTTACCTCTGAAACCAGGCAACCCCCACCTTCAATCGCGAATATCTCGACTTCTCTTCAAGTTAGATTGGTATTTTTTTCATTCAAAGCAAGGCAAATGAACAAGCTTTAAGCTGATACCAATAACTCCACATGCCCAAAAATTGACAAGCGCCTGATTCCACAAATTGTTCAAGACACTTCTGTTGATTCAACACAATAGCTTTTAGTAGGCATGGGGCAGATGGTTTGTTTAACTTTACATGTGTGCTGTGCTGTTTGCCTGCTGTGTCACTTAGCATTGTGTGATTATGATTTTGTGGTTGGTTGGATGAATATAATATCATATCAAATTTATGTTATTTGCCATGTTTGTGTTTTGATTTCCCCTACATAACCAGGGTGTGTATGGAAAGTCTCTGTTTTTATGATATTTGCATTGTAAAATTTGATGCAATCTGCTGCCTTTTTCTATATTTCCGTTTGACCGAAATATTTTTTTTCCATTTTATAATTGATCTCTTGATAGTCTAAAATTGCTGACAAATTTGTTTAAAAAATCCTTCTCGAGGCAGTTTTTACCTTAAGTTGGGTATCTGTCTTTTGTTTGAAGTCAGTAAGAACCTCTGTTTTTTAAGTCTGTTCTCATCTTGAGTCAATTTTCATCTGGTATCTGGGTAAAATGTTTAAAAATTATTTACAACTATATATACTTAAAAAACCTCTATCCGAAGAATTTCTTTGTAACTCTTCCTTATGAGCGGTTTGTTTAAGTATTTTAGAAAATGCTGGGCTGGATTTTGAGGATGGGAGTGATATGTTTGAGCATGTTTGTATGTCATTGTAAGACCATAGCATTTTGAAATAGAAAATAGTGTGTTGTATGCATTGTTGTTGGAATTGATGTGTGAATGACTGTTGCTCCAATGTAGCCGGCCACCAAAGAGGGAGGAGAAAAGGTAGGGGCTTTGTATACAGATCTGTAGCTGTAGCCTATTTGCTACTATTTTTGTATTATGTAGCTTAGTCTTATCTATAGCAAACCATTTTTATATTGTATTACTGTTGTAGAGCAGCAGTCTATATTCCTGCAGTCGTCAACATATCTAACTTTATTTTGCTTTAATACAGTTGCTTTGTCATGTGATACCTTGTTGAATTTCTGGCTTTCAGCGAAAGTGAACTTGCACCCCTTCCCTCCCAATTTGGGACTTGAACTAGTTAGCACTTTGGTGTCTTCACACTCCCTGGGGTCTCATTTGTGTCCTTGTGACGTCATGCATGGAAGACAGACGCTTTTCAGAATATGGTCGGTGGTGGTGGTGGGAGGGTCGCTAATCAACTTTTGCTCTCTCTTCTTTTGGGTACGAAGAAGATGATTAAATGTAGATTTTCACTTTTTACATAATTCATATTACAGGTACCAAGGAAAGGCTAACCTTGAATATTTGGGGGATTCTAAATCTGCAGCGGGTTTGCTTTTCCCAAATCGTAGACCATTGTGCAAACACATCAAATTACGTCATACATTATACTGTGCGTGCAGCCAGATGGTCATTCGACTATTGTTTTTTTGTGTTTTGATGTTCCCAATTATTTCAGCAATGTACAATGATAGTGATTGATGATGAACACGTGTCAGAATAAGAGCTCTTTTGACTTTTGATTGCAATGAAAATTATAATAGAAATGACTGTCTCCTTAAGGCTCTCAAGGCTTTCAAAAAGACAATCTTTTCTTTCTTCTAAGTAGTGATAGGCGCAAATAGCTTTAGAAAGTGATATGAGCAGTGTTGCTATCCTTAGTCCATCAAGATTTTTTGGGGGGTTTTAATCCTTGAATTTTTTATTTCTGAATCTCATTATAGTTATGATTATAATCACTGTAAAATAGCAGTAATGCTATCAACATTTTGTAATTTGTCGTAGCATCATTGATAAGCGACAATAAATTTTTTTTGAGAAACAGGATTTTAAGATTTTAAAAAATGCAAATGAGCATTTTATTTTTAACTCTTGTGTAGGGTCTTCAGCATTTTTATTTGTTTTATGTCTTCAACTTGAAGGGCCAGTCTGGCCTTATAGAGCAACATTTTAAAATATTTGATCTGATTATGATTCCTTAGATGTAAGTCACGATTCCAGACTGTGAACAGTCAACCTATAGTTGTGTATTCCTGTAAGGCTCACATGGCTTCACAATAAATCACAAGGGAGAGGAAGAGACCTGTTCTTTTCAAATGATCAAATCCGCCC